GCCACAGATGCTCCCTCAGGGGCATTCACTCTTACATTTAGATCATTTCTAATTAGCTATGTTATCTGGATTCCCAGGCCACAATGAATTAAAAACTGCACCAGAGGAAAACAGGGATCTAGGAGAGGGGAGTGTGCTGGCAACAGGCAGGGGCACAGCTGGTCAGCTCACAGCAAGAGAAAAGAGCAGCACGATTGTCAGGGTGTTTAGGAAAGAGGCCCAAGAACATTATAATATTACACAGAACAATTATGGATGTGTCTAATGTTGACCCTGGGTCAGCAGGGAGAAGATGCATTCTGTATAAGAATCCAGGGAACTATACAATATGTTTTAGGTATATTTATGTCAAAATAATATAAAGTTATAAATTTTGGTACTTCAAAGGAGTTGATTTCCTTTACGTCTAAAATGAAAATATATGAAATACTTCTTTGTCTCCAAATAACAGATTTTGTTAAATAACTGTATTTAAATACAGAAGACTTATACATAAAATTTAATATCAGTGTCTCCTATTTTTCTTATGCTCGGACTCCGCAAGATACACATTGCATGCCATTGTCTTTAATTAAACACCTCCTAAATAACTTCACGAGTATCTTACCACAGCCAGGCATGGTGGCTCACATCGGTAATCCCAGCACTTTGGGAGGCCGAGGTGGACAGATCACTTGAGGTCAGGAGTTCGAGACCAGCCTGGCCAATATGGCGAAACCCCATCTGTACTAAAAATACAAAAAATCAGCTGGGTATTGTGGCATGCGCCTGTAATCCCAGTTACTCAGAAGGCTGAGGCAGAAGAATTGTTTGAACTTGGGAGGTGGAGGTTGCAGTGAGTTGAGATCACCCCATTACACTCCAGCCTGGGTGACAGAGTGAGAAAAAAAATATATATATATCCTATCACAAAAAGAAATCTAAAAAATTGTGAAAGTATCACTCTATACACACACACACATATCCACCACACCAACAACATGAACACTGAAGGAGTGTGCCTTCAATGTCAGTTTCACAAAGGGAACGGCAATGAATTAGTCAAGCAGAGTGAGGTGACAAGCATTTCACGTGAAGGGCATTCACAGGCAGACTCAGGAAGGAGGTAGAAATGCTTAGGAATTAGTTTGTCTAGATGAAAGGCCAGGTGCTTGTCCTCCTGTCTCATCATGCCTTCCCTCTTCTCAACTTCTCAGTGTACACTCTTCCTGGCACTGACATTCTCATGCCTTGTCGTAACATCAAGGCAATATACTAACCTGGCCCTCATCCTACTACTAACTATGACTCCACCTGCTACTAAGCTCCTTTCATAAATTCTACAATGGACACCTTTGGGATTGTCTACCAGCACCACATCCGCTCCTTCTGATAACTGCCCTTTACCCTATCGTTTTAGTTTCCTAAGGTTGCCACAGTAAATGACCACAAACTGGGTGATTTATTACAGCAGAAATTAATTATCTCTCAGTTCTAGAGCCTGGAAGCCAGAAATCAAGGTGTCAGCAGGGCCATGCATCCTCTGAGCCTATAGAGGAAACTCCTTCCCTGCTTCTTTCAGCTTCTAATGTCCCCCGGCATTCCTTGGCTCCTGTCAGCATAACCCCAGGCTCTGCCTCCATCTTTGCATCGCCTTCTCTTCTGCATGTCTGTGTGTCCTCTCTTCTTATAAGGAAGCCAGCCATTGGATTTAGCACCCACCGAAAACCCATTATGACTCATCTCAAAGTTGTTAACTAATTGCATCAGCAAGACCCTATTTCCAATTAAAGTCACATTCTGAGATCCCAGGTAGACATAAACTTGCGGGGGGACACTTCAGCCTATCACACCCATCCACATAGTTACCACCAAATCAACCACATTTTACAACACAGCTCTATACCTCGGCTATGCGTAAATATTTCATCCATAGACTTTAGTGGAAACAAATTGATCTGCACTCAACAGCCATTCTTCTCCTCTTCTTCCCCAGTCTGGTAGATACCTATCTCCAAATTTAGCTGGTAAAAGATCCAGATACTTGCTTTTCCAAGCTCCTTGCAGTCAGAAGTTATCTGGCTTCATGGGACTCAGTCCAACCACTGAAACAAAAGAAATTCAACAGAGACTTGATTTACCAGGAAGTTTAGAGGCCAACACTCACAATGACTCCAGTCAAAGCCCTGTGCCCCGTTTTTAATTTTAATATTTTTCTGCTTTTCTTAAAGAAGATCCTAAAATTGTATTAGGTTCACATCCCATTAACTCTGAAATGCAGTTATTTCTCTCCAAATAAAAAGAGAATGTCACACAAGGAGAGTTATTTTTCCTGCCTCTTTTCTGCTTCATATGCTACCATAAGGATATGGCTATGACAACAACAGCATTAATGCTTCTACCCACACAGAATGCTAAAAGAATCCTAGATAATCTGCCCCTTGACATCATTTATCCCTGACCAACTCTAGAGCTCCTCCCTCTAGAGTTCTTGTTATGTAAGAAAAATATACAATAAGGGGTTATTCGTGTTTTCTGTTATGCAGCAAAAAGCATCCTAATACTATTGGTATGTCTTGACCTAGGCAGGGACAATTAGTACCTCGTCCTGATTTTTGGACTCAAGAGCCAAAGAGTCATTCCAATGTGCCTCTGTTGACTGAAATCATAAGCTATAAAATTTTGGAAATTTTGGTTACCTGAGTTCTTGCCACATGGAAAAAACTCTTTAGAAAGAGATAAGAATGAGCTTGACATACGGAGAAAAGAAACATGGCTAAGAGACAGGGAAAGAAGCTTGATGCTGGGGTTTGGTTCCTGATACTATAAAAGATACTGACCTTTCTCTAATCACGGTTGTCCCATTCTTTCATAGCTTAGCCTTCCATTAAAATCCCCTCTTTGGCTTAAATCAATTCAAGTGGGATTTTGTTGACTCATAAGTTAGCCAAATTAATAAAGCTTCTTTTTCTTCTCCCAGATGTTACCATTCTCTAACTGTCCTTTTCTTCTTTTATTTTTCTTTGCCCTATTCCAAGGAGCCTGAATCCTATCCAATGACTTCAAATGTCCTTGTGATTAAAAGGAAGCTTTGCAGTCAGATACACCTGGGTTCACTTCCTGGCTCTGTTAGCAAGTAAGCATCTCAAAGCCTTATTTACATGATCTCAAAGAGAAGGACTGTGGTAACATCAGCCTCATGTGGTTCTAAGGATTAAATGAACTGGTATGTGTAAAATATTCAATAGAATCATTAACACATAGGAAACACCTATAAAGTGTATTGATTATCACCAAAGAGGCAAATATTATTATAATTTCTGAACCACAATGCAAAAATCATTCACTAATCCTAATCTCTGCCTTGCCCTCTATTCCTGTATGTCTTATTTCCTTCATGAGCTTTCCCATTAGTATTTCCCAATTTCCTCTTAAACTAAACTGATTCTCACGCTTCTTCCTTCCCTCACTCCTCTCCCACCCACACTGCAATTCACATTTGCCATTTGGTGGTGGGAGTTGTTAATTACCCCGTCACAGAGATGTATAAAACTTATTCTTAAGTTTAAGAAAACAAGGATTATGAATTAGTTATTTGCATTTTTGTACTTAGTTTAGTTGTTCAATATTTTTTAAAATAACGCTCTATAATCTTGAATCTATTGTGCATAGATGGTGGCGGAAAAAAACAAATAAATATCTTTCATACTCATAAAATACTACTTTTTTTCTATGAGGCGATATGAAATATGGGTGAAGTATTATAGTATTTCTCACATTTTTCTGGGCATTACAAAAAAAATGCAATGTTTAGAGATTTCAGAATTACAGATCACTCCTAGTCCAAGTAAAGTTTCCTTCAGAAAGTATTTCCTTCTGGCCTGTGTAAGAATATCCTCCTTTGGGTCTCATGCTTTAGAGAGTGCCACACATTATGAACATACAAACCCAGATTTATAATAGAATACATGGATATATCGTCACCTGGGGTCCAGCAAGCAGAGCCCAACCTGTGGTTTTAAATGCAGGTTCTCATGTCAAACCTCCTTCAAGTCCCAAATAATCAACTCCTCGAACCTCTTGTCGTTTGTCCCCAGAACAAAAGATGACTGCACGAGAATGGTATGAAATGGCATGAGGCCAGCTGCTGCTGACTTCAGAGATGATACTACTTTGTTGGGAAAGATGTGAGCAGCAGAAGAGTTAGGTAAGAGAAAACAAAAATTAATTAACTTGTGCAGTTCTCAGTATGGGTGTAAAGGATTCTTGATAATGAAGCATCTTTCCCAGCTGTTGCTGAGCTGTTCTTCTCCGCAGGTTCCAGGTGTGGCATGTGGACACATTCATACTTTAGCAAATTAGCATGTTTGCAATAGGTGCACAGGGAAGCTGAGCAACATTCTGCAATATTAAACATTTAAAATTTTTAACAGCTAATCAACACAGAATATCCAGATATGCTCAAAAATACACGTAGTAATCTTGGATACTTTGCCAACTTTTAGACAAATAAACACCACAGCCTTACACATTTTTTAAATTTTGAAATTATATAGCTATCAGGGTTTTTAGTTGAACTTGTATCTTTTAAATATTTATGCAAATAGTATGTAGGTTTCATTCATACTTCAATCCTAGGCCTCACAACCTTGCAAGTGTTAAGAGTAAGTCTATTTATTAAGACACTTTGTGGATTCAAGACAACTTTGAAACATAGGGACCAGTTGAAAGTTAGGACTGGCAATACTTAAGGAGGGACCACCAAAGAAGAGAAAGATACAAAGCTGGAATGCCCAGGCTATACTAAAATATGGGGTCCAGGAGACCATGAAATGTGTCTGGTTTTGTTTCGCTTGTTTTAATGGATCTTTGGAGGCTAGAATAGTGTCTGGCACATAGTAGATACTCAAAAACACTCACTGATTGAAGGAACTAATGAATGATAGCAAGAGTCAAATTTTTGACTAGAGCATACACTACGTAGAAGAACAGTGGGAAATAAGGCTTACAGGAGCAGATGATGGGCATCAGAAGAGAGTATATGACTTTTTATTAATTCATCAGTAATTGGAGCAACATTTTGTGATAGATGTTTACAGGCATTATCTCCCCTCTATCTTCTCTTCAAGATGAGGTCAACTTTGTTCTGAGGCATAGAAATCTTCGTGGAAAGGGGTAAAGAGGTTACTGGAAAAAAAAAAAAGGAGAGAAAAGTTGTGTGAAGAATCTTCAGGAGACTTTTCAGATAAGTTTAGGTGCGCCTCTTGAGGTTTTATTTGCATAAGGCCTCAACACACTCCTGGTGAGAACAGCTAGAAACTCTTTAGAAATAATTGTGAGCTCCAGGACTGAGATGTCTAGACAAAGGGGAGGGATAGAGGTCACCTCCTCACCTCTTGGGGAGTGTTTCCACAAAACACAAGAAACTCATCTTCAGTCATGCTATGTTACAGAGCTGTGTCCTTGTTCAGAGAAAGTGGTCAACACAAGGATCACAAGGGAGCATAATATGGAGGGCAATATTGCCTGGATTCACTCACTGTTCCCTCTGATTCAGTCCTTGAGGGAAATTTGCTAAGTTCCTCATAATAGAAAAGCATTAAAAAGAAATAAAAGAGTGATTCAAATTAAAGAGTCAAAACATTAAAGGCAAAGGGAAAAAATAAGAGAAGTTTCTCTACAGAACCTATCAAAATATTGTAATGCAGCATAGAAGCTTGTTAGCGCAAAGCTCTTTAAAATTATGAGAACAGAAAAAGAGAGCAAATTACATTGAAAGATTCGCCTCTCCCAAATAATCTAAGTTAATTGTTCCAGTTTTAAAGTTTTCTCCGCAGCCAAGTTTCTGTAGAATTTCCACTTTTAGTTCATAAATATTTTTCTTACTAAAATTGAGGTTTCAGTATATGCCTCTTGACCTGGGTTTACATTTTATAGCCGAAAAAATATATGAAACCTCTAAGGAAATCATGGCCAAATTGTTGAATTTTAGTTGGTTTAGTTCAGAGGGCAAGAATCCATAGAGCTTTATGTTCTTTCTACCTGAAATAAAGAAAGACCCAAGTTTGCCTAAAACTTGGCCAAAATCCACCAATTTATCTGGGGCCAAAGTTTTCAGTTAATCTGGCACAAATATGGAGTTTTTAATGATACCTGACACCAGGTGAATTTTTTAAATGATTTTAAGGCTAACATTCATAAGGCCATAGAAAACAAAAATTTTCCATTGCCCAAATATTCATTTAATAGTTAAGAATAGAAAATAAAGTTTCTTAGAGTAAGCTATCACACAATACAATTCTTTTATATTTTAAACTGGTGGTTTTCCCAAAGTAGGCAGATAATAATTTCATGCTTTCATGTGGCTGAAGTCTCAGTTAAGACTTTGTCTGAAACATAAAATCAAAGTTCAAATATTCCTCTCCTAGTTAGTGATTCTTTCCACCCAAATTGCATAAGCCAAGGTCAACAAGAATAAAATGTATGAGTGAATGGAGATTTTGAAACAACAAATTATTTGTACTGTGGTTATGATTAAGATATAAAATAGGGAAGGAAAATTAAATTCTACCAATGTGCTTTATGAAAGCTGACAGTTTGTTAAAACCCAGAAACTAGAAATTCCAACTGGAACACAACTTTTCTTAGTTCTAAAGCATTAGTAAACTGTTAAGAAGTCTGACTTTCTCTAATGGGGAGAAAAGTAAAAGATAAACTTAAGCCAGGTTATCTTCCTCCCAAGGTATATTTTTTATATTTCCACTGGGGATTAAGTGAACAAATCTAGTGAGTTATTTCTGTGTTCCCAATGCATCTACCACAGAAGACATGAATTTTATCCTCTAAAGTTAGTAACTTAGGTGAACCAACCAAGTACAAGAAAGATAGCTGAGGAATACCAGAACACAAAATAAATTATAATTCACATGCTAGATTTGTTTAAACATAAAGAAAGTCGTCAGCTAAATTTTAAAAACAAGTAGGTTTTGAGTAAGAGACCGATCTAACAACCCTTAGTAAATGCCTGTTATTGACAGACACTGAGTGAGGTTGTGCACAGTTTGCGCTCTTTGAGGAAAAGATTGATGGAGGATACAGATATACACAGAAGGGGACAGCCAATGAAATTCAGGAAGCAACAGAATAAGAGTATGTTCACAGTGCAGTGAGAGCATCCGAGAAAGCACCAGACTCAGCCTGGAATTGGGGAAGCTGGGGATGGGGACAGTGGAAGCCTGCTTGAAGGAAGATTGTACACTAGATACATAAAAGGAGCGGGGAGCTGTGCTAGGCAGAGAAACTCTATGATCAACAAAAGCAACATGTCATAAAGAGTAAAGTCTGTGGGTTAGGGATAGGAGAGGGATCAAGAAATAAACAGAAATACTTATCAAGAAACACTGGGAGGTAAGCATAGACAGCTGAACTGGGGCTGGATATGGCAGCATAGTGGGTTGAATGGTAGTCCCCAAAAAGATATGAATATATCCTAATTCCCAGAACTTCTGAATGTTAGCTATTTGGGGAAAGGATCTTTGCGGATGTAACTAAGTTAAAGATCTTGAGATTTAAAGATCATCCTTGATTGTCTGGGTGGACCTACATGCCATGACAGATGTCACAAGAGTAAGGCAGAAGGATATTTGACAGACAGGGAGGAGAAAACACGGAAGAGGAGGAGGCACTGCACAGATGGATGCAGAAACTGGAATTTTGCATCCACAAATTAAGTAATACTAATAGCTCCCAGAAGCTGAAAGAGGAAAAAAAAAATTCTTCCTTAGAGCCCACGGAGGGAGTATGGTATTACCAAGCACTTGATTTTGGACTTCTGTCCTCCAGAACTGTGAAAGAATAAGTTTCCATTTTCCACCGTATTAATAAACCAAGTTTGTGAAAGTTTGTTATGGCAGTCCTGAAAATCTAGCACAGAGTATCTGGAGTTTCACATTGAATCCTGGCTTTCCCTGGTGAGCAATGGTTTTATTTTGTTTTGGAGCTGGGTTAAAAGTGAAATATAAGGCCAGGCATGGTGGCTCATGCCTGTAATCCCAGCACTTTGGAATGCCAAGGTGGGTGGATCACCAGAGGTCAGGAGTTCCTGGCCAACATGATGAAACCTCTTCTCTACTAAAAATACAAAAATTAGCTGGGTGTGGTGGCAGGTGCCCATAATCCCAGCTACTCAGGAGGCTGAGGCAGGAGAATCATTTGATCCTGGGAGGCGGAGGTTGCAGTAAGCAGAGATCGTGCCACTGCACTCCATCCAGCCTGGGCGACAGAGTGAGAGTGAGACTCCATCTGAAAAAAAAAAAAGTGAAATACAAGATTGATAGCAAGTTGGGGCAGAGATTATAGGAGAGTTAACCTGTTAACAGGTGCTATGATCTGAACATTTGTCTCCTCAAAATTTATTTATTGAAATCCTAACCCCAAAGGCAGTGGAATTAGGATGTGGGAACTTTTGGTAGGTGATAAAGTCACAAGAGTGGAGCTCTCATGATTGGATTAGTGCTCTTAAAGAGACCTCTGAAAGCTAGCTAGCCCCATCCACCATGTGGGGGCACAGCTAGGCACCGTCTATGAAGAATGCGCCTTCACCAGACACTAATCTGCCAGCACCTTGGTCTTGGACTTCCCAGCCTCGAGAATGGTAAAAATGAACGTTTGTTGTTTACAAGCCACCTAGTTTACTAGTATTTGTTATAGCAGCCTAAATGGATTAATGCAGTAAGAATTCAAGAAAGTGGTCATTTGTTGTCAAACATAGTTTTCAAAATCTTAAGACAATATCATTCTCATGTAGATGCATAGTCAAAGTTTTATTGAATTTGTTAAGAAAATCCACAAGGGCATTATTTTGCTGGTCATTATACTAAAACATACTGACCCACGTATACAGAGTCAGTGAAAGAAAAGAAGAAATCTGGAATGGGATTGCTAAATTAGAATAACAACAACAAAAACAGAGTATTGTCTGACAGGGCCAGAGACATGAACTTTGAGGTGATCTTTGTTACTGGGCTGAAACCATTTGCACTACTACCAGAAAAATAAACACATGCACCCTCTTGGCTTTCTGCAAGTTAAGATCTGTGCTTACAAAGCTATAAAATGTTGTCATGGATACCAGTAAATAGCAAGTCAAGGAAAGTTACATTTTTAAGACAGAAGACCTTTAAGTGAGCTTGTTAGACAATGCCGTCACTTAACAATGTAAGTCACACAGTTATCTTTTCCTATACTTCCAAGTTTTAGATAATAACATTTTCTTATTATTTGTCACTTGAGTCAAAAGTAGAGGAAAAAGCATATATTTTAGAGACCCTGCTAAGATAGCATTTATAAGACTAATATCTATCTCATTGTTAAGAGAATTAAATAAGTTATTCCACACAAAGCCCTTGGAAGAGCACCTTCTCCAACATTCCCTGTCATTCTCTCACATTATCCTGATATAATTTGTTTGGAAAGTCTTCTAGGAGAATATATTTTTAGCAAAATACTTTCATATTCCTGTATTTAATAATATCTGAGTAACTACTATGTATATAATGTTACATGATAATTTTCTTCAAGGATTTTTATCTTATTGCTAAGACTTGAAACTGTTAAAGGTTTAACACATGAAATAATAAAAGAATAAAATATTATACAATAAATGTTAACCACATTTAATTAAATATCAAAATATATGATTCCCTTCTTATATAGCTCTGAAATGTACAGTTTCTCAGAGTATTTTGCACGTACTTGGGGAAGTTAATGAAACATGATTACGAAGCTAACAAGATACTAGATTTCACAGATAATCAGAAAGGAGAATTCTGATTTTTCTCCTTTTGAGAATATAGTAAGGACAAAATTAGCCCTCAAAACAGACTTAGTAACAAGATGAAATTCCTTAGAAATATGATACAAACAGAAGACTTTGTTGGCAGTTGATGAAAAAATGTGTTCATGATTTTTTTGTTAATTAAAACAGTTTGGTGCTTTTAAAAGGAGCTATTAAATATAATAGCAACTTCTATTTTAGTGGCTACACAGATGAAAACTTTATGCCAACTTATATAATTAAACTTTAATTTTAACATTGGAATTTGTCCAGTACTATACATACAATGTGACAGACATAAGAAACTTGTTTCCAGGATGATACTTCTTACCCATGAATTCAGTGAAAGTAC